TCTTTACTTGTCAAGTAATATTTTATTGTATGCCATTTGTTAGTTACAAAACATTATAAAAGCTCTAGTTTATTTTAGCTTCCTCCAAAGAATATTAAAATTTGTTCTGGCAAGCATGTGTGTTACTGGGAAATCAACTTGCTCTTCTGGAGCTTGTAAAGCTTTGTTAGCGCAGTTCTAGTTGTTTTGTCTTTATTCCTAGGTTATAGGCATGGTCTTCACCAAGGTCTCCTTGTTCCAGCCTACCTCACATCTAATCTTCTAAGTGCAGTGCAGCTTCTGAAATCTCTGCTCATTGCTCCAGCTTCCCAGGAATTATTCTCTGCTAGGCCTCATGGAGTCTACCTGTGCAAGTGCCGATTAGGAATTGGCCAAATAAAGGGAATTTTCAGCAGAATTTTAGGACTTCTTTGCAACTCTCCCATCGCAGGGATGTTTTTTGTGCAATCTGAGCCACTTTGACAACTTTAAATTGTAATCTCTGTCTTTTATATCCAGAGAGACCATCATTCACTTGGACTCTATTTTTCTTCTTTATAGTTTTGAAAAATTCTCTCAACAAGACATCTGAGATGAATGGTCTCTGCTTTCAAGGACTGTAGATATGCATTGGTTACTGACTTAGATCCGCAAACAACATTTTTACATAGAGTTTACCAGATTTAATGGTTATGTATGGTTAGTAGGTGTTATGAGCTATTCTGTTGTGGCTGAAACAGTACCCTCCATAAAAATAATAATTCTAACAGCTGTTATTATAGAATATTTGTTAGGTATCTGTGATTTACATGTCTTACCTGGTTTAGTCCCTACAGAAAAATCTGTTAAGTAGATAATATTGTTACCCCAGTTTTAGATGAAAAACGCAGAACTATAAAACTTTGATAATTTGCTCAAAGATATTTGACAATTGTGAAGGCCAATATTTGAATACCAGCAATCTGACTCTAGAGCCTGATTAAACACATCTTTTCTTGAAAAATAATACACTTTGTGTTTTAGATTCACAGAAAAATTGAGAGGCTAGTACAGAGTTCCCTTGTGCCCTTTGTGCAGTTTCCCCTATTATTAACAAGTAAGCCATAGTTTATGCAGATTGCCTTGGTTTTACCAAAATTTTTTTTTATTCCAGGATACCACATTACCTTTAGTTGTCATGTCTCCTTAGGAGACAACTGTCATGTCTCCACAGTTGGCTGTGACAGCTTCTCAGACTAACCTTGTTTTTTATGAACTTGATAATTTTGAGGAGTACTGGTCAGATATATTGTAGTATGTGCCTCTGTTGGAGTTTGTCTGATGTTTTTTCTCATGATTCGACTGGCGTTATGGATTTTGAGGAGGGAGACCACAGAGGTAAATACCGTTTCATGATAGCATATCAAGAGTGCACACCATCAACATGATTTTTCAGTGTTCATGTCGACCTTGCTCACATAGTTTTAACACTAAACATTTTTATTGTATAATATTTGGAGCACACCAAGGAATGTATGCATATACATGTGCATAAATGTGGATGATTGATAATAAAACGACCACCTGGAATGCCCCTCCACTCCCTATCTCCATCAATGATTGAAAATACTGTTTTGCAAAATCCAGTTTCAGCAGG